AGAGAGAGAGAGAGAGAGAGAGAGAGAGAGAGAGAGAGAGAGAGAGAGAGTTTTGTTACCTCTTCCTAGCAAGTGCTGAAAGTACTGACTTAGAAATATTACAAGCTGTCAGACAGGCCTGGGCCCTCAAAGAACTCAGTGTGGAAGACAAGAAGCCCTGCAACTGTGGGAGGGATGGCACTCCTGCTGGGGGCCAGACCTTAAGACAAAAGATTAAAGAAATGCAGCCACCTACCTCCCTAGGGATGAATATTAGGGATTGATATTCTGATAGGTATCAATCACCTTGAAAAAGCCAGGAAGAGCCCTTAAGCCCTGTGCATTCACACCCACTTGCTATGTGACTGTGTGTGTCCCCCCCCCCCCCCCCCCCCCCCCCCCCCCCGTTCCTGATTCAGTTCGGTTTACCTGAGCAATTGTGCTTGTAATCTTCTCGGTTGACCATTGTTTTGCCTCACCTCAGGTGTGAATTCCCTTTTTCCACCTTAGACCCACCTCACCATGTGGTTTTGCTCTATAAAACTCCCTAGAAAAGGCAGATTCCTTGGCAACCCACTCGTCTCCTCTGGGACGGAAGCTTTCTTTCCCCCAATAAATATATCCTGCTCATAACCTCCATCGTTCCTAAAATTCATTGTTCAGGTGTATAGAGAACACAGCTCATTCCAGATATCTTTCACTTTGGGAATTTCATTCCCTCATGTCAATCTCTTCCTGATTGGTATTTTAAAAGCAAGAAAAAAATGCCAGTGAGGTCTGACATTCCCTGCTGGGGAATCTGTGAAGCGTAAGCAAGTCTACTTCCTGGGCCTGCCAAATAGCTCAGGGGATTAAAGCGCCTGCAAGCAGGCACAGGGCCGGGGGGTTCAATCACTGGGCCTGCTGTGCCAGCCCCACCCCCGGGGTACCCTGAAATGGCAATTGAGTCTGCGAGTGGTGGCACGTGCCTATAATCCTAGCTCTTAGAACCCTGTAAACAGGTGGATCACTACAAAGTCTGATCTAGTAGTGAGACCTTGAACACCCTGTAGACCCTTCCCTAAAATACAAAAAAAAAAAAAAAAAAAAAAAAAAAAATTCTACTTCCTAGTCAAATGAGAATGATGACCAAAAATTTAAGGATAAAATACAGATTAGTTCTTTAGTAGCCAACTCAGCTCTTTTGATTTGTGTTTAAAGATGAAGGTATGTGTCACACACATATCTGGTGGCGGTGTGCTGCCTTGTCTGTTCATAGAGGTTGTGGCATTTGGGATGATATTTTACTAGGAAAGTCTGTGCCATGTCACACAGATACATGATGGGATGAATATTCAGAAAACTTGGCATTTTGTAACGGTAGACTCATTTACATACTTGACACCTACAGCCTTGCATTTATTGACCTAAATATAGGAAAAGCAGTAAAACCCAATAAAAGCATAATCCTCTTTCCTCGGTATTCTTGTGCAGTAGCAAGCTGAGATATATAGGAGGCTTATTGTGAGCATGCCTATCCATGTGCAGCTGATGGGTTTGTTACTTATTCACTTATTTTTTTTAAGAAAGTGCTTTTCCCTGCTGCCCAGGCTAACTTTAAACTTCTAGGCTCAGGCAGTCCTCTGACCCCAGCCTCCTGAGTGTAGGGACTACTGGCATGCACCTTGCTTCTGTAATGGAGGTAGATTTACTGTTTAACCTGTTTACAACACAGTGTCTGGGGCTGAGGAGATGGCTCAGTAGAATAAGCGCTTCCCTGGCAAGCACAAGGGCCTGAGTTCAACCCCTGTTCTGCAAAAAAAAAAAAAAAAAAAAAAACAACCCAAAAAACAATAAACAACCAAACAAAACACGGTGTCCACGATGGCCCGGCTGTGTTCTAGGCTGCAGCCACTGCAGTAGGCACATGAGTGTGCAAGCTTTATTCAAATTAGACACCAGAAGCATACACAGGTAGTTAGGATTTCTACAGCCAACTCCATCCAACTCTACAGATACCACGTGACTTCAGTTTGCCAGATGCTATGCTAGGAATAAAAACTCCAAGGACCCATCAGCCTGTAAGGTAATAAAATCAGAAAACGATCATCATAAAGTAGAACAGCAAACATCACAAAGCAAACCAAGAAACAGACCAACCAGGAGTCTTTTGTCTGGGGCATTCAAAAAGGTCCAAGCCGAGCTTGTTCAAGGCCCAAAGTGGCTTTGGCAATATTGCAGTAGTCCCCGGGATCTAGTAGGTGGCAGAGGCGCTGCTGTAAAGTTGCACAAAGACTGTGGTCTCAAGGTTTCTGGCTGGTGTAGCATCTCATTAGGGGAGGAATCGTGGCTCTCGATCCTGCCCTGATAGTGTAGGAGGATCTCACTGAAGGGTACCTTGGAGAATGGCAAGTGCTGGTTTCAAAATGGTGATCTTTTGCTAGAGCCTGCTTTCCACTGGTGTGCCCTTGCGTGTTTAGTGTCAGTTGATGCAGCGCGTGGTGCTGTGGGTGGAAAGGTATCACCCTGGGGAAGAGCGGACCTGCCTTTGGCATCTTCCCACCTCCTGACCTTGGACAAATCCTTGGACATCTTCGCATTTGCAGAGTGAAGTGTTGGGATCAGATGCCTTTCATATTTTCTTCTAGCTTTGACGTGTTCTTATGTCTAAATCCATCGTCTTTTTGACAAAATGTATGAGAAAGCTTAGGAAATGGAGGCACTAACAGCGCATGCTTTTCTTTCCTTGCAGCGTCTCCGCACAGAGAGTCTCTCCTACACCTGGCTGTGAGATGGGGGCTGCCCAAGCTTTCCCACTTCCTCTTGTGTCTCCCCGGGGGCGTCCAGGCCTCAGTGTTACCCAACGAAGAGGGCGCCACGCCGCTAGACTT